GAAGATATGAATTCTATTTTCGATAATAAACTATATTGGAGATTCTAACACTTTTTGAAATGAACGAAAGCAAAAAGTTGGTCTAGTTTTTTCATTATGCAATATGTATTTAGTTTTGGGAACATCTTTAATGACACTTTATTTAACACTGTATTAAGTGAAGTGTATTTTTTAGAACTTCATATCCTAAAAAGGGTGGCTGCGTTAGTTGTCTGTTTGTCATTTTGTAAAAATAATGGGTTTACTGTAGAAGAGAAACCAAAGATGGGTACCTGAAATTCTAACGATTACATTAAAACTATATACAGTAGACACCTCGAACCCTCGGTAATCCGGATTTCCTTTTAATCCGGACAAAATCGATATATTGCCTTGGGCATTAGGTATTTTGTAATTTAGATTGGTAATAAGGTACTAGTATTTCGGACTTCAGTTTGTTCTTGCTGAAACTTAGTTCGGGAAATTTCTGGAGTACTGTAAACCAATATGGCCATCACACAAAACATTCAAAACACTCGTCAAAAAACAAGAGATTTTGAGTGTTTTGAAAATTGTACATATGTGATAAATCATTGGCTAAGAAGTATGGTACAATTTCAGATATAAAATGTTGTAGGAGTAATAAATATTTGACAGCCTAAAAATCCAATTTTTTAATGATTTTAATCACGACAAATTTTTCAATAATTCGTTTTAATTGATCCGGATTAGTGAGTCACTGCTTGTCTGATCCAACCTATAATTTTATACACACGTATACAAATACGAATCCTAATCGTAATGATGATAAGCGATGTCAAACTTACATTTTTAATTTATTCCTTTTCTGCGACAAATCAATTTTTTTTATTTAAACAACCTTTTTGCACCATGAGAATTTCCGGGGAAATACAAGGAAATTCCGGTAAGAAAAACTAGGGAATAAAAATAAATTTATCTGGCAACCGTGTTTTTTTATGTATGCGGTAGAAATATGAGGATGGAAAGTACAAAGCTTTAGAAAATATAGGAAAGAAATACACAAAGTGGATTTTAAACATAAAATTAAGTACACCGAATTATATCGTAAGGGAAAGTAAAGGCGGTAAGATGGTAATAGAAACAAGAACGAGAGTAGTAAGATACGAAGAAAAAATAAGAGAACTGCAGGAAGAAAATAGAAATATGGAGAAAAAAAGTATTGAGAATTGGTTTGGAAAACAAATATGATAAGGAGAGAGAAAAGGTCCTAAGAGAGGTAAAGAGAAAGAATTGATAAAGGGAACATGGTAAAGAAAAGGAGTTACGAAATAACTAGCGGGGAAAACTTAAGGAGTATACAGAAGTCGAAATATGCGAAAGAGTTGAAAAGAGCGAGACATTAAGACATGTGTTAGAAGAGGGTGTAAAAGACAATGTAAAGGAAGAATTGATAAATGAGAATAGTAGAGGGATAAAAATATTAAAAGACATTTTAAAGAAAACAAAAAGGGTAAGTAAGGAATGGTAATTAATAAGAGGTGGTTTAAAAAAAGTTAATAATATTTTTTTGTTTAAATGATAGGAAGTACGATTTGCATTTTTGTTTTTGGTATTAGTGTAAGTTTCAGAACAAATAAGGGATTTTTTTGTTCTTTTGTTATTTTTTGTACTGAGAGGAATAGTTACGGTAGTCTTACAGAACGAAGAACGGGAAGTTAGTTTTTTTGTTTTAATATTTTTTATATATGATATATAAGGTTTTAATAAAACATTATATATACATAACCCTGATTATTTTGCTGGTATTAGTTCCTTGCCACACTGTAATGTGTTATGAGAAGAATCCGAGGTCCAAAATTAAAAAGGTGTAAGATTCGGAGTAGATTACACCTAAAATAAATCTAAAAAATGTTCACCAGTAATGCAGTAGATGATTTAGTGAAGGTGGCACATGTTTATTCAGAAAGTACAAGGCAATTAGTTCAAACACGTCAATTGAACTAATTACAAACTGTACTTAACTCGTAAGTGCCTTTATCGCTAGGAATTACCGCTTGTTTCGCTCCCTTCTCGCTAGCTACGCCACGAACAGTTTCATTATCTTACTCGTATTAACTTGTTACTTTCACGGTAATAAATCTCTCCATCTCCGTCGCTCTGACCAATCTTCTAAATAAGAATTAAACTATTTAGGGTAATAAAGTATTTATTGTGACCTAGAAGCTATGTAGAATAGAAAAGAGAACAGTCCAAATTACACCAGCTATATAATTAGTAAATATGATGGGGTTTTAATTATCAATTAATCTACTTGAGCACCCAGCTTTTACACATTTATGTATACATGACATACTCATTAATTTTGTTATTGAAGCCCTCTACAATAAAAAATAAATATGCGGATGTATGTTGCAACAACATTATTAATTTATCATAAATATTTTTTTCTGATCACCAATAAGATAAGTAATAGCAGATATCTGAAATGATATATGTCTGTAAATATTTTATTATCAGCCCCTTCACAGTAGTTACCCTCTAAAACAGTATACAGCGTTACCATCGCCTTTTCTAATACTGAGAATGGGCTTCGCACACTTTTGAAGTCGTGGAATTCAAATCCACCGTCACAACTGCTTTGTTTTATTTTACGCCGCCATGATGAGCGCCCTTAAGATGGGATTATTTTTGGAAGAGAAACTGTAAGGGGGGAATTGCGTTAAGGTGCAGATAATCGCAATCGACAATCAAAAATCATCATCAGAGACGTTCGAACATATTTTTGAGAGATGTGGAGCAAATGGAAATGGTATGAAAAAAATTGGAAATTCAAACGGAAGGAAAGCTTGGTCTAAAAAGGATTAGAGAAATATTATCATCATCATAAGGTGGTCAGTCCTAAGACTGGTTGGACACGCACCTCCACTCCTCCATATCCTGAGCTAATCTTCGCAAATCCCTAAAACTAGAACATCCCACATCCTTCACTATAACTGAGTGGACCTTAATACATGAGAGGGTGTACTACCAACCTGTCTCGCCTATTTCTTATTGATTGCCATAGAGTCCTCTGTTCTCGTATTCTTTCTAATACTTCTTCATTTCTAACCTTCCGTATCCACGGTATCCTCATCATTCTCCTGTAACACTACATTTCGAACGCTTCTAACCTTTAATATTCCGCTACGCCCACTGTCCATGTTTCGCACCCGTACAGTGCCACACTTCAAACAACCTTTTTCGAATTTGTAAATTAACCGTTCGCGAGCATGAAAAATATAAAAATTAACATTTCTCTTTGTGGATATATCTGTTACTAGAAAAATAACAGAAAAGAAAGAACAATTAAACCATTTAGTTTTTAAAATTCATATGTAGTAATAAAATAGTATATAAATGTACCTTGTATATATAAAATATAATGTTTTTAATAAATCTGTCTATCTAATTATAACTGGAACCAAAAGTCACCAAATAATTTAAGGTAACTTAATAACTGTTCTTGACTAGTGATGAATTGCAAAGAAATATGTTTCACGAAAGCTATAATTTTAAGGACACGCATTTTATTTGGTTGACTTAATCGGATAGTTACGCAGGTTCATACAAACGTGTTACGCACAATCCTCAGCGTGTCGTGATACAAAACACGTAATAATTTTCAAAAGTGCTTATCAAATACCGTTAAGAAAAGTCTACCTACTTTTTAATTATCTTCCATGCGCTCTAATTAATTTTATACGGTTCAAATAATTAATTGTATGTGGGTACATACAACTTACTTGTAATGTCAGTTTAACCACGGAAGAAAGAATTTAGTGCATGCGGAAATATTAAAAATGAACGAAGTTGTACTATGCAATTTGTACTACTCAATTTCAAATTGGAAAAACTTTTCCCAACCATAGCCTGTAACCATCAAGAAGCAAAAAACAATAAATAAAAATTGACATTTCACTTTGTGGATATTTCTGTTACTCGAACCCGTGGAGTGTGTTTTCAATAGTCGTAATAATAAACAGAAGCAGAAATTATGTAGAAAATATTCTATTATAAAATTTTGAATTGTTCTTTTAAAAACCTTAGACACTACCGTTATGATGACATACCATAAAATAGTTATTATTTTCACCACTTTGCCGTGTTCAAGCAAAGCTCACTTTAATGATTTAACACTGGATAATAAATAATAATAAATTTAATTTAACAGTGCATTTCAGCGACTCATGCATAATTACAAACAATAATATAGTAGATTCTCCTTGCTAGATGGTTATACTGCTGTATCATCTCCAAATCTAAGCATACTAATCTTTTTCCCCTGTATATCTATCCCTACAGTTGTACTGTCTTTAATGATGTTGATCGCGTCTTCGATGTATAGATTAAAAAGCAGCAGTGACACTGTGCATCCCTGTCTAACTCCCTTCCTAATATGTTCCTATTGTTCTTTATACAAACTAGGTATCACTCTTCTATCTTTGTAAAAAAAAACCTTTTGGGTGTTTCATTCCCACCAGCCAGTAATGCTGGTGGGCGGGCTACGGCGGAAGTCCCTCTTCAGCCTGCTTTCAGGAATCGTGGGAAATTTATAGGCATTAGATGTTTGCAGTCGTTCTAAGATTTTCCCAGTACTTTTTGATTATTCTACGACATAAACATCTTACAATTCAAAACGAACATTTGCTTTAAGCTTAAGATATAAAGTTATTACTTATTATTCTTTCTTAAAAAAGGAGATTCTCGAATCAATTACGAACCGATTTTAATGATTTTATTATTATTGGATATGTATTATCTCAAGGGCGGTCCTATTTAAATTTGAAAAACTATTCCATCGGTAAGGGTAGAAAATTCGGGAATGAAGAAATTACACAATCCCATCATTTCCGTCCGATCTTTCTCATTGTGAAGTGTAATCCTATTTGAATTTGTTCTTAATCTTCTTAGTTTATGTTTGTACATATGACAATGTATTAAAGTCAAATTATATACGCCAGTATATTTAAATTATTATTGATAGATATCTTTATTTTCAGGCCAGCAGAAAAATAACGCGAAGCGGTTATCTCTTTGTTGCACCAGACTGGGATTTCTCGGTTCCCTTAAACCGGACTAAGGTAAGAATTAATACAGATAAGTCCAAGAAAACTGATTTAATTTTAGATTGATTGTGAAAATTACCCATTTATGTAAATGAATTCTCTCGTTTCTACTAATATTCATACAAACGAAAACTCAAGTTTAAGATAAAATATATAATCAGTAGGGGTAAAGGTCTAGATGATGGCCCCCACTTCCTTTGGGCGATCGAAAGAGGAGGTCTCCCCCACCACTGTACCATAAAAATTTCGTGGCGGTCTCACCCCCATAAAAAGTTATGGGGGTTGAAGGTTGATTATTTTTGACAATTTTCATACACTATAATTCAAATAAAATTCAATAAAATAATTGTTTTCAAGCGGGTGGAAGTGGGGGATCGAAAGAGGGTGGTCACTTGAACAAAACCCGATAACCTAACCTAACCTACCCTATTGATAAAGATATTTAAATAATGTTTTATATAACTTTCTCAATATTTTTATGTATTTTTCATTAGTTTTACCTTTGAATATTATTTAAGAATGACTATATAAAAATTTACATGCCTAGAAATGTATAAAAATTGGCATATTTATTAACTTTAAACCGCCACGAACTTTTTATGGTACAGTGGTGGAGGAGACCTCTGCTTTTGATCACCCCCACCCCCGAATCGTCATCATCTAGACCTTTAGCTCAGTAGGTACTTTTTACTACGGGTTACCATGTAAAAATAATGTTTATTAATTATTGCAGTTTGCCATAGTTATTATTGAAAAGCCATTATAATAAACTAAACGTTTGTAGTTCGCATTTGACCCTAGGTTAAGTGTTACTGTAATTCTAATAAATTTAAGTACCTAGACATTTAATCAAGCAAATTAAATTAATTAGTTTATTTGTCTAATAACGACTTAGTTATTCTAGGAATCGACATTTTAAATTACACCATAATTGGCAAAAACTACAAGGTCAAGGACAATTCTAATTTGTTTTGTGTAACAGATTGACTTTTAATTATCTTTTGAAATGTTTTCACAGTCGACATGAAGACGTACTATGGCAAATACTGCAAAAATGTAACTGTTTTTATAAAAATAATTCAATTTTAAAGACCGAAACTCACAATATTCATTATATAGGTACTGGGTCGACAAATTTGTTGCTATTATCGAGAGGGAATTAATTATTTTAGACCGTACTTCAAGTCCATTAAGTAGGAAAAGCAAAACAGACACATGGACAATTAAATGCTATTTTTTTATTAGAAATTACTGTTCTGCTAGTTAAAGATTAAGTTTAGCAGAATGCGAATGAAAAAATGTTTGAGCAATGAAAACAGTTTTGGTCATAAAGTATGTAAATGAACCATTAAATTATAAGTAACTATAAAATTTTCATTTTCAATTTTTTTATTATAATAAATACCATAATCATGTGCCAGATATGTCGAGATGTACTGTAAATGATACTCCAATTAGTTTTTGAGTTCAGTAAGTAATTCATGGAAAAGTATCAGAAAACAAAGGTATGTTCTCGAAATGGGTACTGGAGTGGAAACATTTTTTACTGAATACCTTACATGAACTTAAGAAAATTACAGAAACAGTAAAAAGTGTGTTTTCTGGAAAAATAATAAGACAATTTAATTCTTAACTGGTTTATTTGGAATCCAAAAAATAGGTAGTTTTATTGTTTAAACAATTGTTTGCTGAAGTTCTACTTAACATTAAAACACCTAGCAGAACAGTAATTTTTAAAAAAATGTTCGGAACATTTAATTTCGTATTGGGACACTTATTTATCATTTAATGAGCATTTAATTGCCCGTGAGTCTGTTTCTGGTTTTGTTAATACTTAATGAACATCCAAAATTCATTATTTCCCGAAATTCTACCAAAACAGGAAAATGTCGGTTTATGTCGATGACGTCATTGAATAGCCCTGAAAAATGAGAAGTGCAAATAATTTATATTTCCACTTTTAATCCAATATTAATATTATTCGACAACTAGGTAATTAAAAAAAAATCTTATCACTACTTTTAAATCTAATAATTTCGTCCGTGTACTTTTTCATCGTATGTGTATTACTTTAAATTAAAAATAACGTCTACTAAACGCGTTGTAAACACTTTTTCCCATCTAAAACATTTAAACCACATGCAAGTCATCTGTTAGTAGTTTATGATTTCAGACAGCTACAGACGACTCTCACTTAATTAGTTAGGAGAAATGCATGTACCTACTTGCAAAAAAAAAATGAACATGTGTTGTTACTTTCAAAAGGTGTGAAACTGTTATTGTACAGGGTGTTTCTGAAATCGTAGCAAGCCTTGTGAGATGTTAATTAGATACAATAGGTAATCGCGTGGTGAGTCAGGTGCTTGGTAAAGAGATTAAAGTAAATTAAGTAAAGTTGCAATCTGAAGCCGGTCCTGAGCGTGAATTGGTAACGAATAGAAAAATTGCAATAACAAGTAATCAACTACATACATCGATGAAAAATGTCTACAGCAATAATAAAGTAAATATCAACACCTTACTGGTACCCTATTACACGTATAATAATAATTAGTCGCCCATTTCGAAAACAATTAAATAAATATATTGTTCATCGCTGATAGTATGCAGTACTATTTAAAGTATACCTCGACATGATATTAAGAGCACAAAATACAAAGTGATTCCCAACCGGTGGTTCGCGAACCCCTGGGGGTTCGCAGTGTTTGGAGAGGGGGTTCGCGAAAATAATATTATAATGGCGGATTTTTTAAAACGTCAATAAAATGCCTGTTTGTTAAGAAATCTATGATAAATTTCAATATTTTCATTTCTTTTTTCCTTATTTATTTTTCAAAATTACTTCATCAATATCAAAATATATCAACAATTTTATACATTAAAATTTATTCCTCTAATTCAAGTAATCAAATACTATTTATTGTCTTTCTATTACAAACATTTATTTATATTTAAAACATTTTATCAATGTGATTCGTATCATGTTCTGCTTTATATTTAAAATCATTGCAGCAGTTTTCCCTTCTATGTAATATTTTTTTTACAATACAATTGGAAATAAATATCAAATTAAGGCAGTTTACTACATTTACATCATTTAAGTCTTATTAATGTTTTATTTAAATATTTCACGATTAATATAATCAATTATTCTGCAATATGAAAAATATATATTCTATCAAATTTTATTGCCTTTGTCATTAACGACTACATAAGGGGTTCGTCAAATTTTTTCGGACCTTTCTTTTGGTTCGCGAGGAAAAAAGGTTGGGAAACACAACACTGCTCTAGCGGATGGAATACGGCGTTGCAATGTCGTATTTTCCTACGTGATCCTACCAGGGCCGGACCGACTCTCGACGGTACTTTCAAATACGTTTTTCTCAAAATCGGTGAACTTTCAGACCACTAAACTTTTATTTAATTTTCTTGTTTTATAGGGCCCTATCACCTCCTGCAAACTTGCTACTTATTTCGAAAACACCCTGTACATATAATTATTTCTTATATTGTCGACAATAAAATAAGCGCGATGGGGACGGGACAGTTAAATGAGGAGTAATATGCCCTTTTTTATTGCATTTATAATTGAATATAATAAGTTTCAAGAGATTTATGTTATTGATTATATTATTGATTACTGCATAAAACCGATTTTCATTGGCTCCTCGGTTATTAACGTTATGTTCTTGATAATCGACTTGTCTGTAAATAATCGGTTATTAACTTTTTCTTATATATATAGGTACATTTTTTAGTGATTATATTAAAAATTTTATTGTATGCATATATCTGTCTGTTATATTTTTCTAATATTGGATCGGCCCGTTATAGTAGTAGAACATTAAAAGTAAAAAAAAAATGTTTATTGAATCTTACCAAATTGGTTCATAATAAATCATGAAAATGAGCTAATAGGATTTTTCTTCTATTGTTTTGTATCTTTACGCTATAGTTTCTTATTTAATAAGAAAATCGACGGTGGCAATGCCATTGTATAAGTAACAAGCCTATTTGGATTTGGATAATGCCAGTTGTAAGGCATATTGTTTTAGTGTTTTATTTTCTTTTATGTCAGTGCCTATTTCATATATGCTTTTCTTATCAATTTTGCAACCTACAGCTTATTAACATTAATAGATATGTAGTTAATTACATTATTTACAATATATCTCCGCCTTTTGTACATTTAGAGATGTATGTAAAAAAAAACCCTTGGCATCAACCTGAGTTAATTGAAAAAGTGAAAAAAATAGTAAATAAATCACTCAACGTGCAAGGGTTGCCCTCAGTCCCAATTTATCGGGACTGACTCCGTTAATGAGCTTTCTGTCCCTACGTCCCGACAAAAGATTAAAATGTTCCGATTGGCTTGCAAACAAAAATGCAAGTTAAAAATTTAATTCCTGTAGCCAAAACAACGATTTTGTTTTCAAAATAACACAGCCTCTGAGTATCTAAAGAATAAGTGGTCACTTTCATTTGATAAATATGAATTGTTCATTTGGATGACACTAAAAAATCCTACAATAGGAAAAAATTGCACACTATTTTATAGACTGAGAGACAATCTGTTTGAGTAACATATGTATCTTAAGAGCTTTGTAGAAGCTAAGTCTGCCTTGGAAGAATGGAAGTCGATTAAGTCGGTGGAAGAGAAATGGATATACTTATTTGAAGAATCTGAAAACCCTGAAAGAAAATGCCATCTATAAAAATTATATAAGTATTTGTTTCCAATCTCTATCCACTAATAATTTCAACAGGGTCAGAGGCGTACAATTGCGAAGAGTATGGAAGTAAACCGTTTACCAGCAATTAGTCACTTCAACCTATCCTAGAAATTGTGGTGGTTTGGGAAAGACAGAAGAGACGGGCGAAATAAAGTGAAAGGTTAACTGGAGATGTGCCTAAGTGATCAAAAAAAAATTTGGATGTTACTTTCCCCTCAACTGCTAATGCTAATGGGCGGGCAATTTCTGCGGACTACTTCGTAGGAAGTAGGGTAGAAGACC